TATTAACCTGTAGTTTTGGATACATTTGTTACCAAACTTAAGTCTTTTATTGCATTAAATACCTGGGGTGAAAGAACTTATCATATTTAATTACGGAAATAAACCGATAGCATCAGTCGGCCGATGCCGATTGAGATATAAAGATTAGTGTACAATAGGTGTAATTGAGGCATTACGTGAACTAAGGGGAAAGTTTAGGTGTTTTATTGTTCAACAATAACAAATTGTCCAATCGAACTACAGGTGCGACAAAGTGACCTGTTCGCATGTACGTATTAATTCATTCATTTATTGACTTTGAGCTTTACAGCTCATCAGTACGTACACAATACATATAAATACAGTGGCAGACACTGCAATAACGCAGTGGAGAATGGACAAAAAATGCATGTAGTTACATATATTTTAACATTATATCATGCTATTCCTCCACTGGGTGACATCATATATATATTTACTTAACATAGTTAATTCTTTAACGTTCGTTGTGCTTAATAATTGAATCAGCTTGAAAACAGATGTTTTTTTCCAGTAGTACAATTTTATACGTCTTTCTCTTAAAACTTGATAAAATGGACAAATGAACAAAAAATGGTATTCGTCTTCAATATCTTCAGAGTTGCAAATTCTGCATGTACGTTCATTTCTTACAATGTTTCGATATCTCCCGGTTTCAATATACAGCGTATGCGCTGATAAACGTAACCTAGTTAGAGCAATTCTATTTCGCTTTGGAATATATTTACATAAATATTGTTGTAATGTTAAATTATCAACTAAATGTCTATACAAAAAACATTTCGAGGAATTCTCTAATAATTCAAACAATTCTTGCCGTGCGTTATCAAAGATTCTCTGTTTAATAATTGGCAGGGCTTCAGACGAGTTCACATTATTTTGATTCAGCCACACTTCGCCAAGACCGAGTGAAAAAAGTTTGTCTTTCACAAAAGTTACCCAATTAAAAACAGTATTTCGCTTTGGCATATACATGAGTTCATCATAGGCAGTTTTAAGAACACAGTTCTTAGTATTTAAAAGCTTGAACCAGTACTTAATTAAATTATAGTGTCTGGTATGTACAATCGGAAATCTACCCAATTCAAAATAGATCATTACATTACATGTTGACTTCTTAACACATAATATCCTTTTGCAAAATTCCAGGTGACTTTCTCAATATCTATGCCTTTGCACGAGCCCCATACCTCAGATGCGTAACACAGTATACTGGTAACATATGTGTCAAAAAGTTTAATCAAAGTATGGCAGTTTAAATTCATATTTTTACATTTTGTATATAAGGCAAATACTGACTTTCGACCTTGCCCGGATAATTGCTTTTGTACAATATTAAATTTATTGTTCCATTTAAAATCAATACCTAGATAAGTAAACTGTTCAACGACTTCTATTTTTTTTCTATCGAAGAACCATTCCTCGTTATTTCGTTAGCGGCCTCCATTTCTAAAGACAACAATCTTAGTTTTTGCCGTATTAACGGTCAATTTCCATGAGTTCGCATATATAGACAAACTATTTAACATGTTCTGTAGCTCATTGGCTGATTCTGCAAGTAGCACCAAATCATCTGCATACATTAATAAAAAGAGACTGAGTTCTCCAAAATCATACGGTTTAACACCGTTAGCAATAAAGTCATTTTCAAAGTCATTTACATACATTGAAAACATAATTGGGGATAAAATTTCCCCTTGGGCGAGACCCATGTTGTTTGCAAAAAAATCGGAACATCTTCCCTTAGATGAAACACATGTCTTAACTTTTTTTATACATGGCTTTCAAAATTGATAACAGCCTTTCTCGAACTCCTAATTTTGACAATTTATACCACAATTTACAACGATCGACGGAGTCGAACGCTTTCTTATAGTCAACAAAACAACAATATAAACGTTTACTATCATTTAGAGATTTTGTAATAATGGCATGAAGCGCGAAAATGGCGTCAACCGTACTTGTTCCAGGACGAAAACCAAACTGTGCATCTGTGATAATGTCATTCGACTCCGACCAGTCTACTAGTCTTTTATTCAGTACAGATGTAAAAAGTTTCGCCATACAGCTCAGGAGACTTATTCCACGATAATTATTAGGATCGTTTTTATCACCTTTTTTAAACACCGGGACCATCACCGCTTTAGACCATTCTTCAGGGAAACATCCAGAGTTAAATACATTATTAAAAATAGTATGTAAGGCTTGTAGTAAAATGTCACCAGCTTCAATAAAATATTCGTTTAGTAAACCATCTAGACCATGCGCTTTTTCTCGTTTTAGACGCTTGATAGCACATTTAATTTCGTCTGTAGATATACTACGGTCAAGTTCATCAAACACAGTGTTCCTATCAACATTTTCTTCTACATAATCATTATCCGACGGGTCGAGATTCGTGGCTACCTCCTTGAAGTGATTAAAAAATTCATCCAACGACACATTTGAAACAGTGGATTTTGTACTTGAGAATTTTTTATAAAAATAACGTGGATTGGTTTTCTGTAAGTGTTCCATCATATCTCCCTCGACCTTCCTATATTGCCTTTTACATGCGGCTTCAGAACGTTTGTATTCCCGTTTCCTTCGTATTAAAAGATCATGGGTTTCATCACATTCATTTCTGTTAAAATTATTCAATGCAGTCAGGTATTCTCCCCTCAAAGCACGCAACTGCCTGTCGAACCTTGTCGAACTCGTGCACGTGGAATGGATTCGTCTGGTGACCTTGTCGCGCTGTCACGTGATGCCCCGCGTGACCTCGTAGTAAACGGTGATAGTATTTGTAAGAGTTCATGCGTGAATTTGTAAACACTGGAATTTATGGCCTCTTGTGTTGTCTCCCCGTCAATAGTTGCAACCTGATTAATCTTGTCTATATTTTCCCTGATTGCAACTAAGCATTAAAACTTTATTTCCGACATCAGCGATTCTCATTAAAACACCTGTTTCTCGTTGGACAGGTAGTGATACAATAGCGTTGTTTTTGATGGACTCGATCGTCGGTCCTATAGAAATGAATGTAAGGGCCGTTACGTACCAATCATGTTCGTGTAAACAACTAACCAATTTTAACGGTCCACCCCCTCGCGCTCACGAGCTGGTTTTGACAGGTCGCATTAAAATGTTAAAATCACACACCAAACCGTATCCGTATTCGGTATGACGGGTGGCGCCTGTACGTAACTCCGTAGATACGGTCCTCGTTAGTCGATCAAGTGCCAGTGTTTTCACACGTGAGAAACTTGATTACTCTGACAGCACGTGACTGACCAATATGGCACCTCTAGTAATATGCCACTTACCTGACAGGATTAACTCGACCAGGAGTTGTTTGAGGTGATTGGTTATTTCTTTGGGTGTGTATAAAAAGGATAGAGACACCAACGAGCATCATCAATCTTAGATTTACATAGGAACGAATATCACTACAACCAATTCGTACCTTACAATTCTTTACTTGACTATGGAGAAGTCGGATTCTAGCGCTCTTCTTGTCCAGAATGACGAATTAGACATCTTGACCACACAAAATCTTGACAACGATGGTAAGTCAATTTATATTTTCCCTTTTTCTAAATAATTAACAGACAGGAATTTTATATTTTAGCTCAAATCTATGGTATCTTATATTATCTCATGACGTAATAATATATATCAAAGAAATCGTATGTGGTCCCCGGACATTGAGTTCAAAAATTATAGAAATTAATTTCATGAAAAAGGGAGGGGGCGCTATTATAGGTCTAGGATCTTGTCCAATAATATTGATTTCTCAATTAGATTTGCAGAAATGATACAACATACATAGAATTAAAAATAAATGGACTTTTCATAGCTTTGTGGTTCAGTAGCGGTTTATTTATTATATACCATCACAGCTGATAGAGTTGATATCTCTGTAACGTAAATTGTGGAAATTCAATATACTCGAGAGGTACAACAGTTGATTATATACAAGTCAAGTACCATTAAAAACGTGTCGGTCTGTATAAGGCTAAACGTACTATATACGTATTAAAGGTATAATCAACTCCCATCATACACTCGAGAATATTTACATTTAATTAAAATCTAAACAGCGATTGCCCTGGGCGCTTCTCCGAATGATCAAGTATGATATTCTTTATAAACAAGATGTATATAGTCTGTCCAGTTAAATTTTGGTTCCTTTTTAATACATGTCATATGAGGAAAACTTCTCTAAGAGCGTATGTGCATGTTATACCAATCAGTTAGATATTTGTCATTCTAAAGGGACAGAGACACTTTAATCGACTCTAAGGTCACAGAAAAGTCAAGAAACTTGATAAACCATTTAAAGAGATAAGATACAACTTCAAACCCTGTCAGTGACATTTGGATCATCAGGACAGACGAGTCAGCAATATGGGGATTTAAAATACTCGACAGTGTCGGAAAACTTATTTGTTAAAGAATGACATATTTGTTATATAAATTCCCCTGGTTTTACGACACTTCGACGAAGACTGTACTTACCCTTGGTCTGATAGCTTTATCACATATAGACATTTATGATTAACTAAGGGACGTTACGTTGATGCATATACTGACATAATGTTATAGTGTTCAATGAATGTGTAAGGAAATTTAGAGTTTAAATTATAATATAACTAATAAAGGCTAAAACCACGAAAATGAGGAGGGGAGAAATAGGATGAATGGTATTGACCTGTGTTTTCTGGCACAGCTAGCCATATCATCTCTGGAAGCTAGCCATAATACCTGGCACAGCTAGCCATATCATCTCAGGAAGCTAGCCATAATACCTGGCGCTGCTAGGCATATTACCTGACAAAGCTAGTCATATTACCTGGCA